AAAGAAGACAGGTAATGGTACTTTTTATGAGGGATTCAGATAATGGGTCCGTAAAGCATTTAAAGGATTAGCCCCACTGCAAAGTTAATGAGGAAGGCCCCCCAGATGGGCTCACTGCATTTTCACGGTGTTTTCACTTGACCTCAAGGTGTCGGCAAGGGGTCACAACCAGGATTATTTTCACGGTGTTTTCACCATGTGAACTGCCATGAAGTTGCAGTGAAAAAACAATTTCACAGTGAAACTGCAAATTAAGTGCAAATTCATGGTGCTGAAATTCATAGAGTATGGTTAACAAAATAAAAAACTAAATTGAATTGCGGTCATTTACTAAAAAAATCTTGAAATTTGAAATCAGAATTGATCTTCCATCATTCTGTGCATTTTCACAAGGACAACCAACTCTACACAGCACCACTGCCTGAGCTATCATTCCTCACTTTAGTTTTACAACACCTCAGGTGGTTTGTTTCACTAACCTTATTTTTTTGGGGTGGGGGGGGTGGGGGGCAGGGTGTAATCTGTTACAGCTTGTGGATCAGTCCAGTCATTGTGAAGCAGCAGTAGCAGCAGTGTTGCCTAAATACACGTGACGTAGGCTTAGGTCTATGTCACTGGGTGGAGACTGACAGTGACAATGTGGACATGTTCTGAAATTATTTTTGACATTAACAGCGACCAGTTTTCTAAATTTATGATAGGGCCTAGTTGAGATGTCTTTAAAGTATGGATTGCCGTAGTCAAGATAGAAGGCCTAATAATGACATTGAAAATATTTCCGAGTTTTAGCACTGCAGCACAAGACTCATGTCCCATGTCATTATGCTTTAACAAAGATACATGTACATGTAGGCCTACACACCCACCACTGGCGCCGTCTCAAATTTGAGAGCACAAAAACTCGGGCTCAAAATTAATTCAGCATCAAACGCACCACTCCTCTCACAAATGAATCTGCAAGATGAAGGAACACTGAAAAATCACACATTTTCAATATAATGTAGAAATAGTCAAGTTGAAATGCAGAAAAATGTGCAAAACTTACCACTCCTCTCGCACCGCACGATGCAACTAACGAAATGACGTTTGCTGATTATCGCGGCAGTTACCACGTGATGGTTTCAAATGATTCGATTGGATGGGCGTTGGAATCGCGTGTGGCATTTTCAAGGGAGGGCGCTATTTGTCAAATGTGTTAATTCGGAGGTGGGGGGTATCATTTTTGGAATGCGCATAAAATTTGTTGGTCGGTTTCAACTTTAGCTGGGGTTGGCCGGGTGGGTTGGCAAAACTACTGACAGTACATCTCCTCGCGTCTGATGTGGCTTAATAAAAAGAGTGCGTCAGTAAAAATTACGCTGAAATGATTAATCGACAAGACCAAGAAAGATTTGCCGTAAACATAAGTGTACTTTATATTATTCATGACATCGTAAAAAAAAGCAATTTGTCTTATTCTGAGTAGTGTTCATTATCTGCCTCTCGGGAAATGTGTCAATAATATTCACAATCAGTAAGTCAGTTTTATGAATGATGAGCTTCAGATCTGACATGAAGACAACTTTTCATTTCCCAATATTATACATTGTCTTCTAGAAACACATGTCTGAGTAACAGGCAAGCCCATAGCGCAGTCATTTCTAGTCTGTACAGATCGTGTTATTTACCATAGGACCTCCACCATTGTTTCTGAATTTATATACATGTATCTTTTTTTTCAGATGCCAGGCAAAAAGTTTTTTACATCAAAAAGGTAATATGCAAATATAATGTTTATGTAAAATAAACTTAGCCAGATATACAAAATAAAAGAGAAATTTCCATAATGCAGTTTCCAGACGACGCCTAACTGTTGCTCGGCCATACTTTTCTTGAGCCTCAGATATGAATTGCCCGGGCATGTGTTGCAAGAAAAAGTAGAGTATTATTCCACATAATAAAAACACTGCATCTAACTACTGTACAATTATCTACTCAATGAAAAATACTGTTTGAGCTGCAAAGGCCTTCCCTCTGACTTTGCACAAAATTAAACGAATTGAAGGTAAGTAGGCCTGTAAAGATTGGCATAATATTTTGAGATTTTACCTTATCTTATCCACTTAACATTAAGCAATGAAAATCGTATAATTTTATACATGGGTTACAATAAAGCTATGCTTGTCATCGTAACAAAGTTTACGAACTTTCTCTGAGTAACTTTTATGATCCCTCCAGCTAAACACCACCCGAAGGATAATTTCTTCTTTTTTTTTTTGAAAAGGCTACAGACATGATCCATTAAACAATTTGCGAGTTCAGATATAGGAAACGCATGAAAAACAAACACTAATAACATTTACTTTCCAAATTAAAGTTTCGAATGGACTAAGATTTGTGAATTAAAGATTCACAAGCAAAACACAAATTATACCCTTGTTCTGGACATGCATGGGCATAAATTACCGGGCAGGGATATATTCCCCACTTGGGGGGGGGATGCCCTCCTTTCTTAATCTTGCAGGGGACGGTCCAGTTTTTTGGGGGATGGGGATTTTGAATTTCTACGGCCGGCCAGTTTTAGGATTTTGGCCATCCCCATCCTTAATTCGCAAGCATGGATGCTCAGTCGCCACTGGTTCCCAAGATGCATTTTCTTTAGGGCAAACTTTTTGAAAGTCCTCAACAAACTACAACGATGCTCCTTTCGTCACCGTTTTCATAAAGAGATGAAGTGACAGAAAATCATAATTTTTAGTTGATTTCTTTTGGTCAAAATCGACTAGGCTTTACAACTTGGTGTAAAGGCACCTTTCCGTGTCTGTTTTCGGATGCGTTGCATACATGATGCGTTCGTGATTTTTCACGGACACAAAATCGACTCCATATCACGCATGTGCGTTGCGCGCGTTCGGCCATCAAAACAGCTCCGGGAACGACTTTTAGGAGCTTTTGTTTTGGACGACGGATGGTTCTACGACGGTGAAAATGAGACGTCTAGACTGGTTCTTGTCCAGTACTTAGTCTCTTGACGTCTTACAGACGTCATCCGAACGTAGGGACCGGTAGTGGGTATTGAACTGCAGAATCCTGCCGGTTTTAAGTAAATGAAGAAACGAAGCCCATTCGATGTACAATCAAACAGGAGCTGATGGAATATTTCGCCTTTTCTTCTTCGTTACCGGAAGTGACTTCACCCTAAATCTAAAATTTAACAAAATAACCACTGATTTGAAATAAATTGCAGTAAAATAATTTTTCCATGATCGATCGATATCGATTATTTACCTGAATGCTGAAACGTAATAAAGCATTGCTACTAGCCATAAACTGAAATATTCAACTTCTGAATTGACAGGGCTAATCACACGCGTTAAACCGCAGCGCAGCTAGCTATACCGGTCCCTACAGGTCCAATGAGACGTCGAGGCATCTGCGCATGCGTCTACGCTGACGGTTCGTCGCTGCCTAGTGTCTACAACGGTACCGACGCGTATATACGGGGTAAAGTGCCTCATTGTTTTCTTCACCAAATCTACTTATAAAATCAGCTAAATCAAGATCTTCTTCGAAAGGCAAAGTTCAACTAAACCCTATTTTCCGTTTCCCCCAGGAGACAACGTTGTCTTCCATGGGCAAAGCGTTAGGGCAAAACCTGTTTTAAAGTTTCCACAAAGTTGACTCCGGAACAATTTCGTACCTGGCACACGCTACGACATTGTGTGTGTCGTTTCCACGAAGACACAAGTCACACGGATTTTAGCGTTTTTCGGAGTAGACAAAAGTGTTTATTTACAAAATGAACAAATTTAATTGACTTCTTTAAATATTATTTGCTAGTTTTGTATCATTTAACATCCCTTCTTTCAGGAAGTGGCATTGGTTAAGTCAAAGGAGTTCTAAATCCTAAATAAGAATTTGAAGAGGAGGCTAACCTCAAATACCATTTTCTTCAACGCTAGTTTTTACTCTCCGGGCAGAATTGTCTCTTCATGAAAATGGTGGCGCTTTGTTTGAAACTCTGTACCTCCAACCCAACGAAAACAAAAGGGAGTGATGGAAAACTTGAAACTAAATTTGACCATCAAAAATTCACCAGTGAATCGAACGTAACCCTCTAGGAAAATGAAGCAATTTCTGCGATAAGAAATTTCGAGTGCAATTTTTATATCGATTCTGCAATCAGAAACTCCCTCAAAATGCGAAGGGCATTAACAAATTCATCGGAAAATTCGTCAACCCTCTCACACTTTGTTATCTCCAGGAGGGCCTTCTAGCTCGACAGCTTCGTACATTTCATTTTCAACCCATTCCCCTTCCTGCTGGAGAGAAGGTGGGTTGACCATAATCTCACCGAAAATATCCTCGCTCTCCGAAGCCCTGGACCCGCGGTCCTTCATCACCAGAGAGTACACGGGCCTCCCTGGAGCCAAATCCAGCTCGTCCATGAAGCCGGAGTTAGTCTTGGAGGCTGTAGAGGTCCGCTTGGCATCCTGATCCACTGCCGAGTACTCAGGCAAATCCTGCACCGTGCTCTGGGGCCTGGAAGCGGGATGGCCGGCCGCTGACTTCCGGACGTCCTCTCCCAGGCCGTTCCTGGGGAGAGAATTGGTCCTGGTGTAGCGGGGAGGGACGGCGGGCGAATCTCGCCGTGCCCTGAATTTTGACAGGGGAACAGAAGTGAGCTTCAGCTGAAAGGAATTTTGCTGTATTTGAATGTTAACTTGTTGCGACGAAAATTGCCCATGACCTGAACACAATCCATGTACAATTTTCACATGGTAAGCAGACAAGATGTCGATAGACCTACTGCTTCGGTTAATGCACATCTTCATATAATAACAATAACACTGCAGCCGCCCAGGAAGCTGCTCATGAAGCTAAAGATTGATTTCAAAGTTATTGATTTCTATTAGTTTTTAATAAGCAAATATCAAATTATTGTATAATAATCTTTAACTACCACACATTTATCTTAATTTTAAAGATCATGTGACTTGATTTTAAAACATCAAGAGGACTTGTGGAAAACAGAACATTTTAATTTCAGCAGTGTTGCGCAGGTGCAAAATTATTGCCTCAGTTTGCGAGTCAGGCCGACACAATGGGATGTGGCTGCAGTCAAACCCACATAGGCTCCAGTGAAAATTCATACCGCAGCCGAGTAATTAGGACATGACTTCATCTTACCTGAACACGCAGCAGTACAGTCCGATTAAGATCACAAGGATGAGAGTACCTAGAAGCGCTGTGTTCAGGATTCCTAGCACCAAACCGACGTCTGTGGAGATTAGATCAAAGTCATAAGTTATAGTAGCTTACACGTAGTGAACAGGCTGTATAGGTTGGTTAGGGGAATTAAGCCACAATGCAATCATCAGTGACTGTCGGTCTGACAGGTAGTCCTAAGTCAAATCAATTCGGCCAGCCAGTTATGTGAGAGTGCAGAGCACCCCCCAGAGAAATTATGTTTTGAAAACTGATGACAGAGATGCAGGTTTGGGTGGACTTTGTCTTTTTCCTTCCTTCTAAAAACGTGCAAAAAGCCCCAATGATCCTCACACGTACACTCAGAAAGGTCATAAGAGGTAATACTTGAAGAAATTTCCAAATTTGAGGAGTTTCCCAAACAATGTTGCCCTCCCCACGAAAATTTGGTGCTGCATCTGCCCTCATTGGGGAATAAAGGGGAGCTTTAACCAAACTAGCAAACCGCAGGCCAGTAAAAAAGTGTGATTTGCACAGATGAATACTTGCTACCGATTGCAAAGAAGCCGAGTAGGGTATCTTATAATCTGCACTCCTTGGTATAAAAGCAGACGTAACGCACCTACTCTGTCGGTGACTGGTGGCGCTGTTCCCAGACCAGTGGCTAAAGGGGAGATTCGGAAGTACATGTCTTGTAAGATCTGCTTGACGTCATAGAACTATTGATTGAACCTGAAGACGCAAGCGTTAATTTTGATGGTGCCCCCTTAACTTTACTGGTTGCCTCAAGGCGTCCAGTGCTGGAAGGTATTATTGTAAACACTTTTGAGTCTGATATGAATCAGGGCTCAAGCTGAAATAACTTTGGATTTTCCTGATTCAGAACGAAAAAATACAGATTAGGTTAATAAAAATCGGGCTGATCCATCCTCTTTTACAGGTCAACTTGTTTGATTTACTTGGGCTCAATGTGGTTGTAGTTCATATTTCAATAAGTGGCCAAAGTGTGGTGGTGCGGAATCGTGTTATATAATGGTGATTGGTTTGATATTCGATGTATGGGTTTAATGGATAGGGATTTTTAGAAATTGCTTAGGAGCTTCATTATTACCGACACATTCAGGTGAAGTCTCGCTCCACATGATTTGGGCAGGGGCAGGTCCCTTGACGCACTGTACAGAGAGCGCCCCCTGTAGACCAAACCCAGGATTGCAAGTGAAGTTGATGATGCTACCGAAGTAGAAATGATCTGCCGTTGGTCTAATCGTCAGTTCGCCATGAGCCAGATTCCCCGGGTCGCTGCAGAAACTTTCATTCACTGGAAAAAAAGAAACAGTAAGCAGGGAAAAGGGATGAATCATAAATTTCGTTCACCCTCATCGACGCTCTGGAAAATTTAATCTTTGGTAAAATCAAAACAGGAAAAGCAATAATCGACCGAAACTGTCAAGCGCCGATAAGGACATTTGTTTCCGCAAACGGCACGGGGGCCTTTTTAATCAGTTAAGATTTTTAATGATAAAAGAAAAGTGTGCACAATAATGATTCAGAAAAAAAATAATTCAAAAGGTAAAAAACTTTCCATCAGAGGCTAGACAGATATGCAAAACTTTAAATGAAGAAATAATTAACCCACTGGCGTAAATCATTAACACAGAAACAAGTCATTAGGGCATTTGGCAAAATCATTTTGCACAGTGTTGTAGTGTATAGCGAAGCCGTGTCGCATTAGACTTACCACTATAGATCGAAATGACGCCCTCACCGCCGCACCGTTGGTCAGGATTTCCAGCACACGCATGGTTGCACGTGGAGTCGATGACTCTCGTGTTCTCGTTGATGTTGGGGTCTTTAAGTCTGTACAAACACTGCTTCCGTTCCATCGCCGCGTACACGATGGACTTATCATTTGAAACTTGCATTTTAGCATGATATACGCATTTTTCAATCGTAATTTCATCCATGGTAACAAGATCATGAAAGATGGCGTCACCGTCCCCACTGAAGCAACCTTTGTATCCAGGGGCTGCGAAAAAAATCGGTGACACAAAAACTAAGCATTAAGAAAGAGCACAATGAAAAAAATCACGTCACCATCAATGGAAGGTATAAGCGACAACAATCGTACCGCGAGAAGAGGAAGATACGTCTCTTGAAGGACTTTAAGTGAAACCTTGCAATTGTACATAAGTTGTCACAGGAGATGTAAAACGAAGTGTTGACTTTACTGTACCAGTGCAAACGACACCAGCTGTGTGACTGTCGCCGCAAGGATCGTCCCGCTCGTCAGTGCCATTCATGCAAGCCATTAGAGACTCTTCCTCTGTCGGCAAAGATGAAGCAGTAAATCGCTTTAATGTTCACGACAGCGCATTATTAGAAACAAACACAAAGAGGAACTCATTCAACCCAAGGACAACTCAGGATGAGAAGAGTAAAGTGAATGACTTGGTATGACTGCGGAGGAGCTTTGAAAATTACAAGTGTCTAATCACCCAATCGAATGGGGCATCTTGTTTTGAAGGAAAAAGTTTTCACACCCGTGCAGGTAACTTAATGATTCGAACTAACTAGGTTTTCCAACAATAACTGGTAGTTTGATGTACCATAGCTATGTAGCTTCTCCAGTGGACAATCCGCAAAGTCTGATTGAAAATGGAGTGTTCACTAACCAGTTCTCGTCTGAACATCTTATCTTAAAAGAAGACCTTCCTGTATATTGCGCCAATCTTCCACACAGAGCTTGCTTTCAATTAAAATTCTGGTAACAAATCCTGGACGTCGGCAAACCCAAATCGTGCAAAGCATCCTCTAAGGACAAGTCCGGCGTGCGAATCTTACCTCCTTCGCACTGGAAGCCAGCGATTGATTTCCCCATTCCCCTGTCTCCATACTCGGACTCAGTCTTGACCGTGGACGTCCCGGGAAACCCCAGCTCCCTGCAGACCACCTGCCCCTCGGGGAATCCCCAGTCATCCGCGCACACGCTGAACCACTCAGCGGATCCAGGGCGTCGGAACTCGACCCTGCCAGCATTTGGTGTTGTCTCCGGGCCTCCAACCAGACGCACCTCTGCAAATAAGAACGGAACTGATGCGCTGATGGAATTTGGCGTGGTGGAAGTCTAAACTGGAATAATTACTCAGTTTGCCCCGCGCTATTTTAATTCGCAGGGACTTAAAATTAAGAAATGTTGTGCCGAGGGCTTAGGGCAGGATTTAGGGCATGATAGCAAAATGTAGTATTAAAAATGCATTTCGAAAAAAGAAATTAGCTTTACTTATAGACATATACATACCACATGCAACATGCACGATTCCCATGAGTCGTGCCAGCAGAAGTCCAGTTACGAACTGCACCAGTGTCGATCGTTGCAGAGGCATTTGGGCTGATTGAAGAACACTTGAAAACAAAAAAGCAAACCGAACTTATTCTATAGCTGTTCACACAAGTTCACTGTCACGGGCCACAATCAGCAGAGTCAACCGTACATTGTATTGCTGGATGGCGGTTCGTGTGACGGTTGTCCTGCGTTGGACTAGGCAACCTGAAGTTTACTGCATATCGGTATGAGAGAAATTCATAATTGCATGGAGTGATGATAGAGTTTACCCATCCAATACTGTCATCTAAGAATAACTGCAGTTATATCGTGACCTTCCACCTCTGGGTCATCCATTATACCGTTATCATGCGAAAATGACTGCACCTTCGAAATTAAAACCACAGATCGACCTTCAAGATGCAGTGACTAAACCACACATTGCAAGAGCCAAAATCAATATAATTCTGCAGTTCCAATCTGATAAACTACTCCCGATTATCAAAGAACATCGAAACTAGCGACTGGGTGCAAAAGGTGACCCGAAAGAGGAACTAAATCAGTTTAATAACAGGAAGTTTCACAGGTATATCGCATCTGACAAAGGATTATTGTGTAACAGTCTTTTGGGGGACTGTCTACGTAACTTTGGGTTCGGTGCATACAGAGCACGTGACCTACTGTCAGGAAATTTAAAAAAAAATGTTCGGTGATTGTGGTTGGATAAAACATCGGTAAAAAATAGATTTAATTCGGTATTCTAGGTTAATGATTAAATAAAGCAAACGAACAGCTGAAACAGAAAAGGTTCTACGCACGTTAAGGTAATGTCGCGGAACTATGCCACAGAAATAGTTCGTTGTAGTTACTCGTTCGGTGCAATCATTTTGTACCCAAACTTCAAAAACACTGTGATGATTGAGATTGAGGGGCAAGGGAGGGAACTTGCCCCACAGAAAAATGTTGAAAAAGGGAAACAAATGAAAAAGTAACAGAAATGGAAAATTTTATCCATGAAAGGGGATGAAAATTACCACTTTGCTTGAAAAATCCTCAATGCTGACTTCCCACATTGATCAATTCTTACCCGATCAATGCCTTGTCTGATATTTTTCCCTTAGCAAAAAACTAATCTGCCCTCCCCCCTCAAAAAATCCCGAAGACGCCTTTGAATCGCAAGGCATCCCCTTCCTGCGGGAATGTTGCCGAAGCTGTTATTTATTTGACCCTTTTGTGGAAAATATTCTGTCGACCAAAGCATGCGCTTAGCTGACAAACATTGCAACAATTTACAGCTCCACCAGAGATGTAGATTTCCCAAGGGGGAAAAACTGAAATTACGATAAGATGTATTTAGGTGTTCAGGGGAATTTCTCATTTCTCACAGCTAAACCTATTGCTTCAGTCTATATTGCCAGTGTCGAAAGCCATGCCATATTTGAATGAGAGAGTTACTCGTTTGCTTTCCTAAGAAGACTTAATGTGCATTTTAACAGCGCGTGTTAACAGTCCGCGAACAGTCCATGTTTGCAACCGACTCCGAGACTCATTCTGACTTTTGCTATTCTGGAGCGACTGCCCCTAAATTTGCCTCGTGATGGCCCACAAAACTCGACCAGGAAATGCGGTCAAAGTACGATTTTTACCACCCTGTCGTCAGCCACACCCTGGACTTGTTGGGGCACTAGTTTTTGCCATCAAAATTTCGCATATTAAACTATAATCAAACTGTCGTATGCTCTCAAACAATAATAGGAACTTACCACTTGGATTTTGACAAGATGGTCTCTGTTTCTGAGGGCACCAGCCGTTCAAATTGTCGACTGGACTAGCGCCTAAGACAACGAGATAAACCGACGGATGAAGTACGCAACGGCATTTTGTATCGGTTCGCCGCTTTCACACAAATCATTGTTCCCCTTTTGTGCTTTACTTTTATAGGCTGCGGTACGAGCAAATCAAGATCCATATCTGGTTGGCCCGATGGGTTTAATTCTTTGTCAACTTTCACTGCGGCCGACCTGCCACGTCAGGACTACACCATCACCGATTGGTCCGTATCCATGCGCGATGAACTGCGTTCGATGTATCCGAGTCCCCCGGGCAAGATGGCCGACGATTTCGGCATGATGCGTGACAATGACGGCCACCGTTTGTACCAAAACAGTTAGGATTACTCCCCAATATCGCACACAAACGATTTTCGACGCTGATTAGATTAGAGATGACCAGAACACGAAATCAGTTATTGTTGCTGGACTATCAGCCCGAACATCCGTGCCTGGAGGTGGACACAAATCCCTCACAAGAATCTGCCTGAATTATTTCTACTCCTTTTAAAGGGGAAAGTTAAATTCACACAATTCATGACGTCAACTACTCTGTTTATAACCCACACGTACAACGCCCAGTATCACAAAGAAGGCTCGTCATTTATGAAGTCCACTTGCCTCCAGAGACGTTTTGAACAAGAGATTCAAGGTCAGCTTTCAGGCAGTTACAATCTCGTACAAAATTCGCTGAATGATCGGGAGTCGCCAGCGCAATGTCGAGTCGACACCTAGCGTTGATGTTATAGCTGGTGAAGATATTGACATTTTGTCAACAAGTTGCCTTGAAATCTCCCTAAATAGGCAATTTTCTCTGGGTACAAGGTGATTCAATAATTTAATAATCAACGCTCTTGGCTGTTAGAATGAATTTTATGGAGCACACCGTTCAGTATTAGCGAGCACCGGGTCGGAAAGGGTGCAGAGTACCAGTTACATGGATATCTGAGAAAAATGGGTGGCAGTATCAGTAATCATTATAGTGCTGTTACTTCGAGAAACCCCATGAATATACTGATGCGAAATAAAGTAAGCCTATGTTTGGTTAATAGGAAAACAGCAATGACAAGTCCCGTGAAAGGGTGGCATTTTCCGAGCCGCATACGAATTCCGAATCACGTACCATTTCTGATGGTCCATTACGAGGTTTTAAACGTGCACGCCTTTGGCTAGATTCGCTTTAACTCCAGTGCTATTTCATCTGGTTTAATCTTATACAACCTTGACGAAACAAAGGTCTTGTCTATGGGAATCGTTTCATTCTATTCTTGAAACTAAATGGTTTCGGGTCAGAAATTACCCTCAAATTGCTCTGTGTCTGTGGAACGGTTCGATGTTTTCATGAATGGAGGATTTTCTGAACAAGATTGAGATGTTCGTTTGTATAGGCCTATTAGTCGACCAAAACCATTTTGTCTTTCATTTTTGTCATTTTGTTTTGTTGGAGATGTTGACCATCTTGGTATCAAAAAGATAGATTTCGTTTTCCTGTTCGCGAAACACCAAGGAAGGAGATGCAGGATAGGCCATTCTGGGCCGCAGTCTCAAAGTACCCTAAATTCATCTTCAACGTTTGAATGGGCCTTCAAAAGATCGTTTCTTGTTTTGCCCAAATACATGTCGCCGGTGGCGTGCACATATTCTGGGGATTGGAGGGAAACACAAAAAAGGGAAATAAATCACCGCTGTGGGTAGCAATTATAACAAACCAGGCTGCAATATGGAGAACCATCACACTAGATCATCTTTCCGCTCAACCAAATATTATCAGCGTAATTACCCAGCTAGAACGCTTTGTCTGCCGCCGAGTTTTTGTCCGGTCGTTTAGACCAAAACCCATCCATTTCAAAGAAGATTGCCTGCCAAGGCCAAATGTTTGCAGAGTTGGGCGGTGAAAGGGTGTTGGAACTACAGAGGTAAGTAGATCAGGCAATAGTGAGCATATCTTCACAAAACGGAGTTTTTACAACGGGACGTTTTGCCTGAATTTGCAGTCAAACTGTTGCAGCAACGAGGTGGCGTATGGGCATCCGAAGGAAGGTTTTGAATGTTAAGTTAAAAACTTCGTTTAGAATAACACGCTCAAGAACCAAAACCTGTGCACATTTTTATATATTTGTTTATTTTGGCAAAGTCAGAACTAAACGGAAGTAATTTCATTTTATCTGCATTAAGGGGAGAAATTAAGGTCTTGATAATCTTCTGGTCATTTTATCGATGAAATGTAACTTTGGAATTAGTACATACATGTAGCTACACATACGGTGTGTTTGGGGTTTCAATATGTTTGAATTTGATTTTTGTACCACTATATGGCACAATTTTTAAAAAGTGCGTCGTGCTTAACAAGAGACTTGTTGAATGGTTGAAAGTGCACATTGAGTTCGCTACTGCTTTTTGTATATATTAAATGACGAGAAAGTTGAAATATCTTGATTTTTTTCAATGGCGCAAGGCCTTCTAAAGAAAAAGTGCTGTGAACTTTTCCAGAATGCAAAAGATAGACTTGTCATAAGTTCAACTAAGAGTCGGAATCGTGGACTTCAACGAATCGACTAGGATTTCGTGAAAGTCAACGAAACGGGACCACAAAAGTCTCAACTGGAGAAAATAGGCAGGTATAACTGTTACAAGGAATGGGCACTGAAGGCCTTGCATACTGTGTCGAAGTACCAGACCAAGATGGCTGGAACCGAGGATATGCGTCATCCAGCACTTCCTGAGAGCAAAGTTTAGGATTACCTTGCAAAAATTTCAGAAAAGTGCAAGTAAAAAGTTGTTTTTCTGGGTCAGATCGGTAAACGAAGAGTATATTCAATAAACGACGTCGCATGACTGATTAAGGAATAAAAATTAGTGGAACTTTGTGTGATCGCGAAATAACTGATATATAGAAGCAAAATCCCCTCTGGCACTCTAGCACTATTTCAAAATTTAAAACAACCTAAAATTTGTAACTGTTTATATCCATATTTCTTATCATTACTGCTCCATGCAAGTAACCAAGAACTCAAAACAACGGAAGATCAGCGGTCAACGGCCGATCGCCAAGCCAGCGAGACACCAAGTGATAATGCACGGATAAACGCGTCTCAGTCTCTGGTTGTGGGTTTGCTCGTGGGTCGGAAGGGGAATTTCCCTGTTATATGAATGATAGGGTTCCGTGGTTATTCCTTCTCTTAAGCTTGACTCTTGGTGGCAGCTTTGTCTTGTGTTGAAACCCTAAAATGGTCAGCGATTAACGGATTTAGGGCTTCGAGAGTGTGAAGGTTGTTGGCCAGTACAGGACCGACGTTGCCTGCTCAAACCTAATCACAATTTGCTGTCAAACTATCCGGTATTACCGCATACAGGAGGTATGTTTTAAGTTCAAACTAAAACTGAACGAAGAAACTTATATACAAAAGAATACTCCTCTCCCTAACCGAAGGAAGGGTAACTTGCACTGGAAGGGGCTATTTTCAGCCTCTTTCAGTCTAAATTCAGAGTGATTTTCACTCTAAAACGTTTTGTCCCTAGTTCACTCCT